CCTCCTCCTCCTGCTCCTCCTCCTCCTGCTCCTCCCCTCCTCCTCCTCCTCCTCCTCCTCTTCCTCCTCCTCCTCCTCCTCCTCCACCTCTTCTTTCTCTTATTATTCTTAATAGTAGTAGTATCCGTGGTATGATGAATGATATGTTTCTTAGTATTCGTATTATTAATATTCGTATTATGACAAATACGACTGGTCGTATTACGATTAGTAGTAGTAGTAGTAGTAGCAGCAGCAGTAGTAGTAGAAGTAGTAGAAGTAGTAGTAATAGTAGTAGTAGTAGTAGTAGTAGTAGCAGTAGTAGTAGTAGTAGTAGTAGTAGTAGTAGTATGATGATGATTCGTAGTATTATTCGCAATACTATTAATATTATTGCTGTTATTTAAATTATAGTATCATTATTTGTGTGATTCGGATTATTCCCCATATCCTAAGATGGGGTTATTTTTATTACTTGGACGTCTACTACTCCTTCTTCTCCCTCGTCTCCTTCTCCTCCTCCTCATACCCAGACTTACTCACACTCAGATTTACTCATACCCAGATTTACTCAGACACAAACTTACTCATACTCAGACCTACTCATACTCAGACCTATCCCTACTCAGAGTTACTCAGAGTTACACATGCTGAGACTCACTCATGCCCAGACTGGCTGATACTCAGACTTGTTCCCAGACTTACTCATACTCTGACCTGCTCGTACTCAGACCTTTTCATTATCTGATTTGTCCAACACACACAGCAGCAGATTGTGAGGATATCTCAGGCGGGGCGCTGGCTTCAACCCCCCTAAGGGGGGCCGCCAGGGGTGTTTTCACGGTCCCGTTCGCAGCAATGTTGTGGGGATGCCTCAGGCGGTTTGCTTGTTTTCTGTCCCAACATCCTTGGCTTTCCGAGCAGATTGTGAGGATGTCTCAGGCGGGGCGCTGGTTTCAGCATCCCTAAGGGGGGCCGCCAGGTGTGTGTTCACGGTCCCGTTCGCAGCATTGTGTGGGGATGTCTCAAGCGGGTTGCATGTTGTCTGTCCCAACATCCTTCGCTGGTGGAGCAGATTTGGAGGATGTCTCGAGCGAGGCGCCCATTGTCACCCCCCAGGTGGGCCAGATGTTGAGGATGCCTCGATCGGTTTGCCTGTTTTGATGGCCAGGCTCGTGGGCGCAGATTCTTCTCAGGATGCCACAGGAGGCTCAGGCTCCAGGAGGCCCCAGGAGACCACATGAGGTCCCAGGAGGCATCAGGAGGCCACAGAAAGACTCAAGAGGTCACAGGATGTCCCAAGAGGCTCCAGGAGGCCCCAGGAAGCTCCAGAAGGCCTCAGGAAGCCACAGGAGGCCCCAGGAGGCCACAGGAAGCGCCAGGAGGCCTCGGAAGGCAACAGGAGGCCCCGAGAGGCCCCAGGAGCAGGAGGCCTCAGAAGGCAACAGGAGTGGTTCAAATCCCATGTGGTTTACGAATGCTCCTATCTATTGGGCCTCACCTGGAGCACGATTCCTTGATGTTATAGTATGTGTATAAAAAGTGCCCCTCTTCTGTGTACACAATCCTACATGTGGTACTGGTGTTCCTATGTGTTGGGCCTCTCCTGGGACACGAATCCTTAGTGTTTTACGTGTGCTGCTATAGATTGCCCTTCTCCTGGGGCTCTAATCCGCAATGCTTTATGTACGTCTGTTGCTATATATTGGGCCTCTCCTGGGGCACGAAACCTCCCTAGGAGGTCCCAGGAGGCCCCATGGGGCTCCTGGAGACCCCAGGAAGCCCCAGTAGGTTTCAGGAGGCCCCAGGAGGCCCCAAGCTCATGCGCAGAGACGCGCTCGTACTACTGAGGCGCATTCACACTCCAAGTCATTCGCAGTTAGATTCATGTCCAGACCGTCACAACTGAAGCTCGTTTATATTCGAAAGCTCTTGCACCTAGACATTCACGGCGGACAGGCCAATGCGAATAGATGCACGCATGGGGAGCTCCACGCAGTGCATAGTTTCTTACGCGTCGTAATAGGTGCCTTGCTCGTCTTAGTATTAGCATGATTCGGAGTATGATGATTATTAGTATTAGTGTTAGTAGTATTGGTATTAGTACTACTCTGCTTAGTATTATTAGTACGGTTCGTAATGCTATTTTTCGTAGTATGGTTATCATTATCAATAATACAATTATGTGGTACCCGCATTAGTATTAGTAGCATGGTTATTCGCATCATTTGAAGTACTATCAATATTATGTGTCGTAATACGATGGCTAATGTTTCTGTTCTTCGAATATTTTCATGAATACTAGTATCATGACTAGTACGATTAGTGTAATCCTGTTTCCGCTACTATAACTCTTACTGTCTTAATAGTGCTCTCATGTGTATCCTTCGTATCCGTATTGTTCCTAGTGGTATTACCCGTCGCCGTATTATTGTTATTCGTAGTACTATTAGTACTGACAGAAGTATGAGTAGCACCACGATTATTAGTATCACTCGTCGTCTTATTATCTTTCGTCCTCTTCTTGCTACTACTATTTCTTTTTATATTATTCCTTTTCATATGATTATTCGTAGTGTTGTTCGTATTATATATTTTGATTCGTAGTAATCTAAGTATGCTGATTATTATTCGTGTTCGTATTAATATTACCCTTATTATTATTTAATCGCTTCGCTCATGCCGCCGGCCCTGGAGCCCTCTTTAGGGCCTCTTGGGGGCCTCTTGGGGACCTCTTGGGAGTCTCTTGGGGCTCCTTGGCGGCGTTTTGGAGGCCCCCAGGACCTCTTGGGGGGCTCTTGGGGGTAGTCGATTGCGGCTCCCCCCTCGGAGGCCACGATCCTCGTGAGGGGTGTCGAAAAATACCCTCCCCTGGAGTGGTCTGGTGGCTTCTCCCGGGCTTCTCTCGGGACCTTGCCGGGGTACTTTTCGTCCGGGGGCCCCCAGGGGCCGCTCCGCGCGCGCGAACTAGAAATATTGTTAACAAGTTACCGGAGATCTTAGCACGCCTCTGGCCCGTTGGGCCGCGCTACTACTACTACTACTACTACTACTACTACTACTACTATTACTACTACTACTACTACTGCTACTACTACTACTACTACTACTACTACTACTACTACTACTACTACTACGATTAATTCCTACTCATCTTAGTAATTAGTAATTCGTACTATGGTTCGTCCTCTTCCTCCTCCTCGTCCTCCTCCTCCTCCCTCCTCCACCTCCCCCCCCTCCCTTCCCCCTCGGCGTCCTGTGAGGTCGACGCAAAGATGCTCTCGACGCCCGATACCAGGATGAAATCAGCACCTGGAAGGCGGGGGGGAGGAGGGGAAGGAGGGGGGTCCAGGAGAGACGGGGGAGGGGGGAGGCAGGGGGGGGGAGGGGTGGGGGGGGGGGGGGGGGAGAAGGGGGAGGGGATGGGGATAGGGGAGAGGGGGAAAGCGAGGGGAAGGGGGAGGGAGAGGGGGAGGGTGGGGGGGGAGTGGGGGGGGGGAGGGCGTGAAACGAAGCTTCACAGGGCGCACGCCTTGCCTCCCCACGTCGGCCGGCTTGTCCCACAGCTGGCTCCTCCACGGTGCCCCGACTCTGCACTAGCACGCTGCACGAGATGAGAGTGGGGGAAAGGGATGTGGCATTGGGCCCGTATGGTATTGAGAGATGGGGAAAGCAAGGGGGTCACTCTTGACCCCAGGACGCCTAGGGCCCCAATGAAGGCCTGCAGCCACATGGCTATGGACGGAGCGGACCACTATGCATCGAGAAATCGGCACCGTTCCAAAAACACTTCCGCTTGAAGTTCATTGAAACGCAAGCCGAAACACAGTGCGGAAGATCAGTTGCTACCTCGGAAGTGACTATATCACCCCAGAGGTCTGGATGGAAATCTATATATTCGACCCGTTCCAAAGCCTGGATCCCGAGGCCTTTTTTTTTCCGAGGCTTGGCCGACTCAAACATCTGATCGCGCACCGGATGCCAACTACACTTGCTGCTGAGAAAGAGTTCCAGTTGCCATATTTCGTGGCCCTTGGTGAGACTGTTGACCGACATCGCGTCACGGGCGCCCACACCATTCTATGCCGCCCCCAAGGACCAACAACCCCAAACCGGTCCTGAACTCTTTTCCGCTCATGAACTTCTCGGGGCATCTCAATCGATCGTAGAGGTTCCTGGAGTCTGCGATCAAGCAGCCATGGATTTCCCGAACTTGGCTCCAGGGGCCTCGAAGGTCTGTTTCCATTCCGAGAGCACTGCCAACAGAAAAAGCACATATGTGACCTCATCGTCGGCGTCACCTACAGCCGACACTTCCGCGGCCGCGAGGGAAGTCCTGAACGCCAACTCATCAGCGGAACTCCTGTCTCATCTCCAGACGGGGAGCTCAAAGGCACAACTTCCAGCGCGCGTCCTTCGGCCGACTTGTCGTCCACTCGTTTCCCGGCAGCAGCATCGCCCCCGCCGGTCACGGCCAGCTCCTTGGACTCTGAGAACGCGAAGATCTCCAGCACGCGATCCTTCGTCTCCTTCGCGCGCCTGGTCAGCTTGATATCTTTCACGTGGTCCTCCACGGCGCAGGACTCCGTCTTGCTCCGTTGCAAGCTCAGCTCGGCCAAGATGTCTGGACCTGTCTGGGCACCTTTCCACTGCAAATTCCGGGCGGCTGCGCGAAACTGACTCTTCTCTGATGCTGTCACCAGGGACGAGAGCTGACATCTTCTAAATGCCGGTACATCTATCTCCTCGATCTGCTCCGTGTAAATAGCCTGGCTCAGCCTGACACCGAGATCGGATCGTTGGGTGATGTCCACGCCACACTTGAGCAAACGTGTCGCACGCCCACTCGGTCCATCCGAAAGCCTCCATCACCCGTTGTCGCGCACGTCGCCACACATCGTCGGCCTCTCGACTGGCAAACAGGAAATCATGAACGCGAGACAACGCGATACCCACCACATGATCAGGATCTCCAGTATCTGTGGGACTAGTCAGGATCCACGCGCACGGATCCGCTTCCAGCATCCGCCAGCCCAGCCCCTCCAGCTTCCGGTTGGCCGCCCTGTACCAAGCGCGCGGGGCCTGAACGAGGCCGCACGCTAACGTCTTCAAGATGGCCGACAGATCGTGACCCAAGCATCTCAGCGATCTCACCCGTCGGCCGCGCGAAGAGGCCTCTGTCCAGTTCCTCGCCCTGGAGGGAAGCCCGACTTCACGTCGCCCTTGGCCACGCGCATCTTGAAATATGCCGTCTGCTGCAGAAACGCCTGTCTCGCCGTTCGCGTAGCCGTGGGAGCGTACGACTCCTCGGTAGTCAGGTCGGGGTTCTGGAAACGCCGGATGACCAAGCGGGCCTTGGCTCTATGACCTCCAGGTTCCGCAGGATCAATCTTCCAGGTCAGGAGCCACCGCAAGCGCATCAACCTGTCGCTGGGCACCGATACATGATCTGCTAGGGCTTCGAGTACCATCTCCTTGATTCACTCTTGTGCCTCCTTGGCCTTTGCCCTTTTGAACTTCTCAAGGTCCGCCGCCGACAGGGCCCTCTCCGCGCCTTCAACACGCTGCCTCCTGAACTGCGCGGCCACGAACACGGCCGGGTCTTTCACCGCGCACCCTCCACGGGCACCGTCAGGTAGAGCGATCTCGACCTCGGTGGCTTTCTATGGGTTCTGCCAGAAGCACTCGCAGGACCCGATCAACGGCGCTGGGAAGCACCTCTGGCAGGTCCTGGGTGGGAAACGTGCTCTGGCTGCCGTCGTCGTTCCACCTCCAGCTCTGGCCTTTCCAGCGGTCTCGCCAGTGGTCGTCACTCCATCACGCTTGATCTCTCTCATTCCACTCGCCTCCTGGAACTGTCCAGTCCTGAACCTCGACCTCGTCGTCAGCTTCCCCGGCTGCGGTGCCCTCATCACCGGCAGCTGGTACCGTGTACCACGGAGCGTCCGTCGTCGGCAAATGACTGAATGAAGTCGCTTGGGAATTCGGAGTGTCGGCCGTGGTGATGCCGTCCTTCCCGTTCATCTTGGCGAGAGCCACCCTCAGCCGCTGGTAGCACTCGTGGACCCTCAAGCAGTACTCTGCCATGCCCTCCCCGCGTCTGCGGCGCAACTTGACAAAATACACCTCCACGTAGTGGCCCACATCCTCGACTGGCTGCCGCATCACGTGTTGTGTATATCGTCAGCAAAAGGTCTGCCACCGAAGACTTGGAGAGCCATCTCGGTGGTCGTCCGATGCATGCAGTCGCTGCCGCTCAGGTCAATCTGGCGAACAGCCTGGGGCCGCACAAGTACCTGTCCTCCCGCTTGGTACCGTCCACGTAGTTCATGGCATCTTGCTGATACTTGTCCCACGTACTGGCGCTGCCGTTCCAACTCTGCACCGCCTGGGACGTAGTCATCTCCATGGAGCAGAAACCTGCTCCGGTACCATGCGAAGCGAAGCTTCACAGGGCACACGCCTTTCCTCTCCACGTCGGGCGGCTTGTCTCGCAGCTGGCTCATCCACGGTGCCCCTCTGGCACCGACTCTGCACTAGCACGCTGCACGAGATGAGAGTGGGGGAAAGGGATGTAGCATTGGGCACGTATGATACTGACAGATGGGAAACGCGAGGGGGTCACTCTTGACCCTGGGACGCCTGGGGCGCCAATGAAGGCATGCAGCCAAATGGCTATGGACGGAGCGAGTCACTATGCATTGAGACATCGACAGAAGGGGGAGGGGGGGACGGGCAGGGGTGGCAGAAAGGGAAGGGGGGAGAGAGCGGAAGGCGATGTCGGGTGGGAGGGGAGGGGCGAAGGGCGGGACGCACGGGCCTGCCTGCAGAGACATCATTCAGAAGGGGGAGGGGGAGAAGGGCTTGGGGGGATGCGATGGGGGGTGGAGCATACAGTCAAAGCGCATAAGGAGGATGCGCGGTAAGGATGCAGGGGCTTGGAAGGCCATGTTGCCATTTTTCGAACCGGGTTGGCCAGCGAAAGTTGACAAGGATGGGCCGAAGGGGCACGGACGCAAGGGCAACCTTGGAGAGCTGCCCTTCTGTATTATGCGCTTTGACTGCAGCCAGGGGGAGGGGGCAGCGAGACAGCAACATGCGGGCAACATGAGGCGCTGGAGGCTGCCTTGTATCAGGGAATGTGCCTTACGGCGGGGCCGAAACCAGCTGCACGCCGCATGTGCCGTACCCCTTTCCCCCCCACCCTTCGTCCGCCCGGGGAGGAGGAGGAGGAGGAGGAGGAGGAGGAGCAGGAAGAGGAGGAGCAGGAGGAGGAGGGGGGCTGCAAGAGAAGTGGAGGCGACAAAGAATCCTCGACAACCGACCTCTCCTCACT